CCATCTATCTACAATCAAACATAGACAAGCAAGATACTATCAGGTACTAAGTTCATGATAAATTTAAGTTCAATTAATCATATTACTTAAGAACTCCCACTTAGAAAGACATCCCTCTAATCTTCTAAGTGATCACGTGATCCAATCAACTAAACCATAACCGATCATCACGTGAAATGGAGTAGTTTTCAATGGTGAACATCACTATGTTGATCATATCTACTATATGATTCACGCTCGACCTTTCGGTCTCAGTGTTCCGAGGCCATATCTGCATATGCTAGGCTCGTCAAGTTTAACCTGAGTATTCTGCGTGTGCAAAACTAGCTTGCACCCGTTGTAGATGGACGTAGAGCTTATCACACCCGATCATCACGTGGTGTCTGGGCACGACGAACTTTGGCAACGGTGCATACTCAGGGAGAACACTTTTTATCTTGAAATTTAGTGAGAGATCATCTTATAATGCTACCATCAATCAAAGCAAGATAAGATGCATAAAAGATAAATATCACATGCAATCAATATAAGTGATATGATATGGCCATCATCATCTTGTGCTTGTGATCTCCATCTCCGAAGCACCGTCATGATCACCATCATCACCGGCTCGACACCTTGATCTCCATCGTAGCATCGTTGTCGTCTCGCCAATCTTATGCTTCTACGACTATCGCTACCGCTTAGTGATAAAGTAAAGCATTACAGGGCGATTGCATTGCATACAATAAAGCGACAACCATATGGCTCCTGCCAGTTGCCGATAACTCGGTTACAAAACATGATCATCTCATACAATAAAATTTAGCATCATGTCTTGACCATATCACATCACAACATGCCCTGCAAAAACAAGTTAGACATCCTCTACTTTGTTGTTGCAAGTTTTACGTGGCTGCTATGGGCTTAGCAAGAACCGTTCTTACCTACGCATCAAAACCACAACAATAGTTTGTCAAGTTGGTGATGTTTTAACCTTCGCAAGGACCGGGCATAGCCACACTCGGTTCAACTAAAGTTGGAGAAACTGACACCCGCTAGCCACATGTGTGCAAAGGACGTCGGTAGAACCAGTCTCGTGTAAGCGTACGCGTAATGTCGGTTCGGGCCGCTTCATCCAACAATACCGCTGAACCAAAGTATGACATGCTGGTAAGCAGTATGACTTATATCGCCCACAACTCACTTGTGATCTACTCATGCATATGACATCTACGCATAAAACCTGGCTCGGATGCCACTGTTGGGAAACGTAGTAATGTCAAAAAAATTCCTACGCACACGCAAGATCATGGTGATGCATAGCAATGAGAGGGGAGAGTGTTGTCCACATACCCTCGTAGACCAAAAGCGGAAGCGTTAGCACAACGCGGTTAATGTAGTCATACGTCGTCACGATCCGACCGATCAAGTACCGAACGTACGGCACCTCCGAGTTCAGCACACGTTCAGCCCGATGACGTCCCTCGAACTCCGATCCAGCCGAGTGTTGAGGGAGAGTTTCGTCAGCACGACAGCGTGGTGACGATATTGATGTTCTACCGACGCAGGGCTTCGCCTAAGCACCGCTACAATAATAATGTAATATCAAGGTGGACTATGATGGAGGGGGGCACCGCACACGGCTAAAAGATCAAACGATCAATTGTTGTGTCTACGGGGTGCCCCCTGCCCCCGTATATAAAGGAGCAAAGGGGGGTGCGGCCGGCCAGGGAGGAGGCGCGCCAGGAGGAGTCCTACTCCCACCGGGAGTAGGACTCCCCCCCCCTTTCCTAGTTGGATAAGGACTTGGGAGGGGGAAAGAGTGGAGGAGAAGAAGGAAGGAGGGGCGCCGCCCCCCTCTCCTTGTCCTATTCGGACTGGGGGGAGGGGCGCGCGGCCCAGCCCTAGTCGTCTCTCCTCTCTTCCACCTAGGCCCACTAAGGCCTATTAAGTCACCGGGGAGTTCCTTTAACCTCCCGGTACTCCGGTAAAATCCTGATTTCACCCGGAACACTTCTGATATCCAAACATAGGCTTCCAATATATCAATCTTCATGTCTCGATCATTTCGAGACTCCTCGTCATGTCCGTGATCACATCCGGGACTCCGAACAACCTTCGGTACATCAAAACATGTAAACTCATAATATAACTGTCATCGAAACATTAAGCGTGCGGACCCTACGGGTTCGAGAACTATGTAGACATGACCGAGACACGTCTCTAGTCAATAACCAATAGCGGAACCTGGATGCTCATATTGGCTCCCACATATTCTACGAAGATCTTTATCGGTCAAACCGCATAACAACATACGTTGTTCCCTTTGTCATCGGTATGTTACTTGCCCAAGATTCGATCGTCGGTATCTCAATACCTAGTTCAATCTTGTTACCGGAAAGTCTCTTTACTCGTTCTGTAATACATCATCCCGCAACTAACTCATTAGTTGCAATACTTGCAAGGCTTAAGTGATGTGCATTACCGAGAGGGCCCAGAGATACCTCTCCGACAATCGGAGTGACAAATCCTAATCTCGAAATACGCCAACCCAACAAGTACCTTTGGAGACACCTGTAGAGCACCTTTATAATCACCCAGTTACGTTGTGACGTTTGGTAGCACACAAAGAGTTCTTCCAGTAAACGGGAGTTGCATAATCTCATAGTCATAGGAACATGTATAAGTCATGAAGAAAGCAATAGCAACATACTAAACAATCGGGTGCTAAGCTAATGGAATGGGTCATGTCAATCTAATCATTCTCCTAATGATGTGACCTCGTTAATCAAATGACAACTCATGTCTATGGTTAGGAAACATAACCATCTTTCATCAACGAGCTAGTCAAGTAGAGGCATACTAGTGACAATCTGTTTGTCTATGTATTCACACATGTATTATGTTTCCGATTAATACAATTCTAGCATGAATAATAAACATTTATCATGGTATAAGGAAATAAATAATAACTTTATTATTGCCTCTAGGGCATATTTCCTTCAGCCATTCCCCCTCCCTCCCCGCCCTCCCCGCGTCGCCGCGCGCTCCCCGGCAGAGGCAGCACATCAATGTGCCGTTGCACCAGGCCGAGTGGCACTGGCACCACCGCGTGCCTTTGCCGTACCCCTACGCGACGCTGCCGCATGACTGGCATTTGGATCCAGAGAGGATCCCAGTGCCGGCGGCGCCGGCGGGCGTTGCTGACGCCGGAGCAGCGCGCCGAACCGCACTACGCCGTCGACTTCCAACTAGGCTCGATGGTTCGCCTTCGAGCACGAGGAGGCGAGGCGACGCGGCGTCGACCGCAGCCTGCCGCCGCCCCCGCTTGTCGTCCACGACGAGGACCAGGAGGCCGAGACCGCCTACCAGGCAGCCATTAAGGAGAGCGAGGAGGAGGAGCGGTGGAGGGAGGCGGACGAGGCGGCTTTCCGGGCTGCCATGGCGGAGGCCATGGCCCTCTTCGCGGCGGGCGACTGCGTCGCGCTGCCGGTGACCACGCCGTCCCCGCCCAAAGCCGAGCCGGAGGAGCCGGCCTACCTCGAGCGCTACTCCGGGACCGGAGTAGTGCGCGAGTGGGTCAGCGCTCCGCCAATCTGGCTCGGGGTGACGAAGAAGCAGGAGGCGGCCTACCTCGACCACTGGCGCCGCGTTCGGCTGGCCGAGGAGCGCCGGGAGGGCGAGCGCCCGCAGATGCTCGAGCGCGAGGCCGAAGAGGAGGCGCGCCAGGCCCAGGCAGCGGCGGCGCAGCCCGACATTGCCGCCCTCTGGAACACGGCGTTCCCCTGGGTCGGCCCTGCGTCAACGCTGATCAACCTCACCAGCCCCGATGCAGACGCCGCCGTCGACGAGGACGCCTAGAACAGCGCGTCGTCTAGTTTTTAGTGTTTTTATGTTAATTAATGTAATGTTGACTTTCGCCGGCCTTCGTGGCTGGCTTTTATGTTTAATTAAATGCATGTATTTATTTTTAAAATGCTTGCAAAACTTTTTCTTGGTGCGCCAACAAAATGGATCGGACCAGCGTTGGGCGCTCGCGACGACCCAAACACAGACTGTGTCCGTCGGGCCGACCCAAACGGACAAAAAACGGACAAAAGCGTCGTCCGTTTGAGTCGGGCCGTTAGAGTTGCTCTAACTATTCTTTTTTTTAGATAAATTTACCTTTTTATAACTATTCTTATTCCGAGTGTTTCTTCCTATTCTTATTTTTCCTAACATTCATGCGTTCCTAAGGCTGGTTATAGTGAGGAGTAACTTATACTAGTATCATGCGTATGACATTAGTCCAAGTTACTACCCTCATAGTGCAAAGTAACATACTAGTAGTGTTATAGATGACTTTATTTATTAACTTGTAAACTCATTTTATCTAGGAAACCGCTATGTTATAGTAACATATTATGTTACCACTTCTCATTAACTATTCGCCACGTAAGTAAAATTTTCTTGAAGTGCGCTATGTTCCTAGCTAAGTTACTCCCACTATGACTAGCCTAATAGGGCCTAAATTGGTATGATACTGGTCAGGCATCCTCTAATGACGACAAAACTTTGAGTTTCGAGCCCAGCAACAACTTTTTCTTTTTTTGAGGGATGAGCCCAGCAACAATTATGTGTTGGTGTGACAGGATACAGGCCCAATGGGTCTGAATTTAGGTGACAACGAGCCCAAACATTTTCTAGAGTTGCACAGAAAAAATAATATACCTAAACAAGCAGGAAACACTAAAAAAACTAAACACGCAGGAAACATATCAAATATTTTCAAGCATTAATCTCACAGTACCAAGCACAGGTTTCCACTTTCCCACAAGGAAAGACTACTAACAGTGTCCACTACCACCAGGTATGCAGATTGGTAATCACGTCTCGAGCACTTGTTAAATTGTTGGGGAAAAAACTGAATGTTCATGATGACCCTGTGAAGAATAGCTCAGATACAATCACCACAATGCCGGTGCCAAAAAAGGGTCACAGCTGCCACGGCTCTAATGCTCCAAGAATGGCGGATAGGTTTAATTATCTGCCGTCGGGAGGTAGACCCGGTGGAAGTTGCTCATGGTCAGCTTCCTCCGGCAGGTAGGGCACTTCTTTTGAGCCTGGATGGAGGCCTTGATGCACTTCTGGCAGAAGATGTGGCCACAGATGGTCGATGATGCATTGACCAGCTCATTCATGCAGACTGGACAGCTGAACTTTGTTTCCTTTGGGATCTCCTTCACAGGTTCAGGGACAGCCTGCACCACCTTGGGCTGCGGTGTTTAAGCAAAGCTTTAGAAAACTGATGTATGGTGCTAATCTAACACGGTGTTGATGAAGTACAGTGTACAAGTTCTTACCGGTATGTTGTTGGTCTCAGGTGTGTCTACTATGTTTATTACAAGGTCGGTGTTGGGTTGTGCTCTCGAGGGATTGTGCCTCGGGTTCATTCCCAGAGACAGCAGAGTGTTCACATGCTCATCAAGAGCTTCCCCTGGAACAAAAGCAGCAGAGACACTGTTAATAGATTTGAAGACGGTCAAGAAGGCAAACTAGGAAAAAAATAAAGAAAATATAGATCTGTCTACAACATAAAGTACTGACACAGGATATTTCTATATCTGAATATGGGAAACTTCATACAAGAATATTGGCTCATACTATGAGACTGACCACCATCACTATCCATTTCTAGTTGACAATCCATACCACACAAAAAAAGAAAACTGACTAAATCTGAAGGAAGAGACTTGACGCTAACAGAACTTTCATGCAGCATACAATTTTTTTGATCGTACAGAAAATAGAGATGGTAAAACATATGCAAATATTAAATCATAAGAAATAGGATTCAGTTTTTTTAGACAGGCTGTTACAGACCGTTCTTAAGAAACAGAGCAAACCACCAGCCGAACAAACAAAATGGAACGAACAGTTGGTTCGGTCAATTCAGGAAGTGAACAAAGGCAGGGGTACAAGCCAAAAGATGTTTTCGTCCCTAATAAGGATCCATGGTGAAGTCGAACCCCTGACCTTCCCTCCTCTATGTAGAGCAGAGCTCATACTTGCCATCTGTGCTATAGTCGGCTTTAATGTAAATGGCAACCATAAAACACTAAATCTTACAGATAAGGCGTGTAAGGCAATGAAAATACATCAAGCATCATGGAAAACTTCATATAATATTATTTTTTCTCATCCCAAGTTCAGAGCTATATTATAAGCAGTTTCGATGCCCAACACACAACAGGCAAATCTTGCGGTAGCAAGGGCAGGAACTCGGAATGTCGAAGCGTAGATTTGAGCCCCTGCTTCAATCATCTCTGGAAATGACGACTCCTGGTAATCTCAGCGGGGTCTGATTTTTTCCCGAAAACAAGATAGTTTTTACTAAACTATTATTTTCCCTGTATACCACTGTGCTCTAATGATAATATTAACTGTATTGCTTCTTTGTTTGTTTTGTAGTGTGATGTCCATATTAACCTGTCCATTATCGGAGGTGATCGTTCACCTCTAGGAGGCCAAAGTAATATCAACCATGAGATCATGACAACAACATCGATATTAAGTGGGAGACCCATATTCTCCTTTCGACGGGCATGGCAGAATGGCCACCAAGTAAATATACAGCTGTCTAGTGACAGCTGCAATTATAAGGTACATGAACCCACTGAAGCAACAAAAAAAGGGGTGCAAAACCCAGCCCTTAAAACAAAAATATTGTATATGTTGAATCTTGGACTCAGAAAGAGCACATAGGAAAACATGGCACATTGCAAGTCCCAATACCTCCATTTTATTTGATATGATAAATAGCCTCCCCAGGTCCACAGATATGATGGTACATCGTAGCAAGCACAAGACTTCATTTATTCCTACTATAGATAGCGGACACTATTTTGCACGCTAAACAGTCAAAGTCTGATGACTTGCAATGTTATCATGCAAATCCTACAGGACATAAACAAAAGCTTCACGACACTAGAACAAAAGTATGAAACTGATTCATATAAAAACACATGTATGTTTATATCCAACTACAAACAGTATGGTTCAGATGATTTGTGGGATACCTGCTGGTCCAGCAGTAGTTTCAGAATCATCATCTATTATCACAGTGATAGGTCCTGTCCTGGACGACTGTTGTCTTGCCTGAAACAGAAAGTGAAAAACAATATCATCAGATACTTGATGCTCCTTCTCAAACAATCATAATGCAACTGAAACTGGCAACAATGCAAAACATAGATTAGAACCAAACATAAGGAACATACTTGAGGGGGCGGCCCTGAGGTATAAATCGCAACATCATCATCAATCACCTCCACGTTGATGGGGAAACTATTCATGCCAATGTTTGACCCTGCAGCAGCAGATGACACCACAACCTGTGTGGTCTCGTAAAGCAGGGCAGCCGCCGTAGGAGGGGGCTGCGTGCGTGAGACAGGCTCATTAATGGAGAGTGAACCCCCAGTACTGGCTACTTCAACAGCTGGAAACAAGTTCAGGTCCAGAAACTGTCGCTCCCGAAGTTGCCGGTCTGCAGCCTCCGACGTCTTGGTAGTCCGTCTCCTCTTTGGAACCCTTGCAGAACCAGCAGAGCTCATGCTGCCGCGATGAAGCTACAGGCTTGAGGAAAGCCAACAGAACACCCTGTATGTAAGTTAACAAAACTTTGGAATCAGATACAGTCACAATTCAGTTGTTTATCAATGAACAAATAAAGAAATGCAATACTATTCCTGAAAATGCATGTCTGGCCAAATCTACGCAATTCTAAGCAGCAAAGAGGTTGGGTAGATTGTGGACAAAAGGGGAAAAATTGGCCGCCTCGTCCCCCACCACCCAACACCCTTTTCCTAGGAAATCGGCGCAGATATACACAATTGTACGAAGATACAGTACATGGAGATGTAGAGAACAAAACATCTGATCTTTTCATGCCCTCCCCTCCATCGAATCGACTCCAACCAACAAGCAAACCCTAAAAACCCAATCAAACCTCGCCAAAAGGCGCCTTTGAGCCCGGGCCCCTAAAGCCCCGGGCACCGCATCCAACAAAAGGCGGCCAAAAAAATTCATTTCCTCCCTTTCCCCAACCAAGCCCCCTAATCGCCATGACCATGGAAAGAAAAATCCCCCAAAATTCCATCCCAAAACCCCGTATCTCCCTCGAAAATCTATCTAAATCCCGTGAATCCGAGCACGGTTTCAACATTTCGCCCGCCCCCCGCCTCGATCCGAGACCGGACTCGATCGATTACCCCAAAATTCAGAAAAATACCACGGCGCTGCGCGCAGGAGGGTACGGAAACCGCTGGTTGGGGCACGGAAATTACCAGGAGAATTCCGGAGGCTGGCCGGGGTCGGTAGGAGCGGCTGGGGCTGGAAGGAGCGGCTAGGGTTTGGGGTCGGCGGCAGGGGGGGAAACTCCGTTGGGTTTGTCTCTGGCGTCTCGCCCGCCGATCGCGTCTCCCTCGCCCCGCCGGTGACGGAGGATGATTTATGCGGAAAAAAATTGTGGACCGGACCCGCGAGAGGCGTCCCGGCCAGCTCCTCTCATCACTGCGCTCGGGTGGGTGGCCACTGGACTGGAAGCTATAGGCCCATCGAAGGCTCGGTCCACGCGGCGCTATGGGCCGGTCCGCTAAACAACCACCGCGTGAGATGCGTTTCTTCCCCGTTCTTATCGTGTTGCCATTCTCGGCCTTGTGCAGCCGCACATGGAGATTCTCCAGCTTTTCTTACCA